CGGCCCGGGGGTTGCGCCTAGGGCAGCCGAGAGGCCCTCGGGCCTCTCGGGGCAGCGCCGCTCCGGCTCCGTGCCCGCTCTAGGCCGTCTCCCCTGGGCAGAGCGGAGGCCCAGGCCCGCTGGCACCTCCTGGCTCCTAAGGTGAGAGTGGCTGGCGGCACCTCCCCTCGCCTCCGGCCGCCTCCCAGCAGGGCGGCGGGGTCAGGCTCCCGGGTGGTTCCTCGTGGGGGGGAAATGAGCAACACGGGAAGTTTTTTAATGTCGTCTCCTTGCTTTAAACAACATATTTTGGCGCGTAGATGTTTTTGCGACCTTCAGGCTTTCAGCAAACTCTTGGGAGGTCACTTGTAATGTAATGCTCTCAGGGCATTCAGGTCTGCCCGAACCCTGCAGTGGTGGTGTTCTGCCTTCCCTTCCTTTACGTGAGGGGAAGCTGTTATGTTCGTACCTTCTGTGTGCTGTTTGTTCTCCTCCGTATCTTGGCGCTCTCAGTGTGTAAGTCTAGTGACTAGTATCATGTTATAAATTAATATGTGACCAGTAAGCGGGGAATATTTTTTTAAATACACTCAGAATGGAACCCCATAAATAAATACAATGGAAAAGCCATAAAGAAAATCAATGCCCAGCCCAAAGTATGAGCTTCTGCCAAATGTGCTATGAAGTTCTCTGTAAGTGCATGTTCATATACATGTTGTTAGGTATACCAACAGCAACATGACAGGAATCATATTGATGTCTCAGACTTTTAAAAAGTAATCTGTAGGATTTAAATTTAATGGTACCCTTAGCTGGAGGCTTTTTTTTTTTGGTTTGATGTTACATATAACTGCCTGTGTGGTAATCATTATTAACAATATGGTTTCAATCTTCCAAGATTATGCTTTCCTCCACCCTCACTGCCAAAGAAGGAGTAATTGTATAACAGTTCCTGGTGGTACCTTTATAACCTTCTGGACGGGCGATCCCTAAGGACTCTTTCTGGTTAAAGTTAGTTTTTCCTCTTGCTAGGTCTCAAGCTATTCTGAGATAAACTAGCTGGGTGACTGGGACTTACTGCTAGGAAACTTAATTCCGTAGAGCCTGTACAGCTGTGTGCGACATTAAAATTGCAACTAAGGTGGCAATTTTGATGATAACTAAATATGCCTAGAATTATGATAGGTTTGTGGTGTTGACTTACTGCTCATTGCTGTATTAGGAACTTACCTGATATATTATGAAGACATGAATCCTGTCTAAGAGTCTCAAACATGATCTCCTAAACTCTAGAAGATAAACTCTTTTCTGTATTGCCATTATGCCAAAACACTCACTGTGGCTTTTTTTTTTAATGATTTTTACTTTGCTATGTAATTGAACAGGCATTGCACAACTTGAAAAATAGTATGTGCTATTTTCCAGGGGCTTTACTACCTCATGAGTCCTCTTTCAGATAATGCTTTAATGTTTTATTTGGGTGGCTACTGTTTTAAAGGGGCATTTGCAGTCGTGAGGAGAATGACTTCAGTTAAAGTGATACAGGCAGTTATTATACTACAACAGTTCAGATACCGTGGTTATTCTAGGTAACTTCTGATATCACTATACAAATGTTTAAATTTGCATGAATGATGAATCACAGGAAGTGCGTGCTTCTTGCTTCACGCACAAAAGAAAACGTGCTATGTGTTGGGCAGGTGTCTTGGAACAAATTTTCTGGTACAAGATTCAGGTAGCTACCTGTACAAAATATGAGAAGAACATGAATTCGGCCTTTCCAGTATGTGACAAGTTTGTTTGGGCAGGGAGAGCACAGATATGTTCTATCTGTGAGAAGACAGAAGGCCTCTATCTGATGATGAATGGATACTTCTACTATATTACAGTTAATGTAGGACAATAGATCACACAGACATATATATGTCTCTTAACTTTGTAGAGGCTCTCATGCATTTTGAGAAACCTAATTTTTCCTTGAGCAAGTACTGTGGTTACATAAAAATGACCACCCAGGGAGTAGAACCAGCAGTAACGCTAGCCAGTGCACCTGAAAAATCACATTTTAGCAAGATGCTTTGTGTGCTCTAATTCTTCTGCTAATGTTTTACTTTAGCAATGCTAACCTTGATCTCAAATCTAGTTTATAAGAGTTTATCACTGAAGCAAACAAGTGCTCTTAGTTTCTTGATGTTTTGTGATGAAACTTTTGAAAATTAACACTAGAGTTAGTGCTTCCCTGCTGCTCCGAGTTGAAGTAACCTTTCTGCAGCTTTCTGTGCAAATGAATTATTTCTGTGGTAAGCAGCCTGCTGAGAACTGTTTCTGTGACAGGTTTGTTGTCAGTCCTTTCTACCAATTGTGTGACTCCTAATACTCTTTCAGGACGGCCCTATCGGTGCGAGTGGGATTTTAACAAGAGTCTAATTGTTTTGTTTTCGGAAGTCTGAAGTTACTTCTGACTGCCTTAGTGGTAGAGCTCTTATTAATGAGCTGTTTGCAACTGTAACTTAGTTTAGCACCTCTATCTTCTAGCTGTTGAAGAAAGAAACAAGAGATAATCATGGCTGACAACAGTATGCTGATGTCTGAAACCGCGAGGAGCCTCTTGGCTGATTCTTCTGTTCTTGATTCAAAAATTATAGAAACCTCCAAAGAGAATGTATTTCCTGGATCTGTTTTGGATGTTGAAGGTAATGGGAGAATGTTTTTATAATGACTGATTACTTTGTAGGTATTTGGTAGTTTTGAAAAACCACAAGTGCTTTGCTGAACTACAGAATTGCATGTAGGGTAGCCAAAAGGGTGTTGGTTTGGTATCCTTTTACCAACAAAGGGACTGTTTTAATTTTTAACTCATCATAAAAATTTGGGGTTACAGCCGTGAAATCAAACAAGCCGTCTGGCTAATGTACAGAAATCTGTTAGTCCCATTTGATGCCTCTTCTGTGGAATAAATCATTCCAGGTGATATTTTGACACCAGTGTTCGGAACCTACAGCTACTCTGTTGTGTAGCATTACAGGTAGTCCTTAGAGATTAATAGTTTTGAGCTTGAAATTAATTCAAGAACAAATCTTGGGATGAAAAAATAACAGAAAAGGTATTTTTGTTTTCCTGCAATGCAGTAGCCAAAATCCAGTGGTAGTCTTTTGGTGCAAATGACATGGAGGCAACACTTGTCCCTTCCTCCTAATATTTTGAAAGGTTATTAATACATGGATAAAAAGACCAAGATACCTAACTTCAGTTCTGATATTCCTTGGTGAAACTGAACAGTTACTAGGAAGTAATGAACCTTGTCAGCCAGGAACACAGAAACTGGAAAAGATAGCAGCTGTCTATTTTCCAGCAAGTCTTGGTATCTAATTCTGCTAGAAGCATTAAGTCAATAACTTTGTGTGTGTTTGGTGGGGTTTATTTTGTGTGTGGTTTGTTTTTTTTTTTAAATTTCTTCTCCTTACCCTTGCTGACTCTTCCTGCATGTTCTTGCTTTGACTGTAAAGTAACTGGGCATGAATTGCGGGATCTTGTTTCACTATCTACTAGTGAAAGTTTAGGCTCTACAGTCAATTGGGTATGCCTTAATTAAAGTACGTGCTTGTTGAGGTAATACTTATTTTCAGGCTTGTTCCTGCTAAACAAGGTATCTTGAAAGGATGCAGTCTGCCTGTATTCTTCTGTAGATTATTGATTGATTTTTAGACCTAACATGGATTTTGCTATTAAAATATGAATATTATTCTTGTTTCTTTATAAACAGAAGAAATGCCTCAAATAGAAACAAGAGTGGTTTTGGTTCAGGAAGCAGGGAGACGTGAGGAGCTTCTGAAAGCCTTGGAGGTATGTGGGTCTAAGATAAAACAGTCGCTGGAATGAGATGGTATGCTTTTAGACTTCCAGTAACCGATTTGCTTCCGTACTAAAGTTCTCCTCTTCCACAGACCATTAAGATAATGGAAGTACCGGTGATAAAGATAAAGGAAACTAGTCCTGGTAAATCAGAAGAAAAACTAATTAAAAGTATTATTCATATGGTATGTCATGCAATTAAGCACATGTGATTGCATGCAGCATGTTGTATTTCACTGGGACTGAAATGTGCACACGCTTTAATTAATATAAATTGGGCATAATGGTCACAGTATATGCTGATGGTTCTGATGGTGTCACTTAAAGCTCCTCAAAATTGGCACACTTTTACAAACACTTTCTCACTTCCTATGGAAGTAGTATCTGCAACTCTTAATTAGTGGTGTTTTCTAACAGGGGGATAGAAATATCAATGGAGACATTCAACTGCATGCTCATATTCAGTCAACACATAAGTTTTTGCTATGAACTGACTTCATAATTGATTAATTGACTTCTCTTTCAATTGAAAGCTGCACTTAAACTTAAGTGTAAGAAGTGGCTCTCCATTTCTTGATCTGAAAAAACGAG